GAAACACGGTGGAAGCTCCTGGCTCCTGGCTTCAGATTTGCTCAGCTCCAGCCTCTGTGACCTCTTGGGAAGTGAACTATCAAAGGGAAGATCTTTCTCTCTGTCTCTCCTCCTCTCTGTATAGCTGCCGTTCCAATAAAATAAATCTTTAAAAATAATAACAAACGCAATGGACTGTTCCTGGGAAACTACTGATATTTTGCAGTTAAGCCAGTTCTCCAGGAGCCATCAATTCAGCTAAAGAAAATATAAGTGTTCCTTTTTAAAAGATTCCAATACACAAAATTACAATGCAAAAAAAGAAGAATGTGATCAGCTATATAATAATAACTCCTTGACTATTTAAAAGTCACTTGCTTTAAGTATTTAAAACCACACGTTTTAAGTATTTAAAACATGAAAAGCAGCACACAGAGGGAACTTTAGGAATACATTTGCAGTGTAAAATGAGGACTACCAGAAATTGCATCTTGATCAATTTGGGTCTAGGTCTATCCCTGCTACATTCTCTAATTAACAAGTCTATGTAAAGGAGTATATCCTTTGTTAACTTTATAAGCACTGTTAGATAGTGACACCTTAAGTTTTAAAACACCACTTCCATGAGTTGTTGATACAAATTTAAAAAGGCAGGTAAACTTACTACTTTCACTTTTCTTTTGAAACTTCTGGAAACTTTCTTTCAGGTCCTAAATACCTCTCACTGCCTACTAAATTCTTCAATATCTACTTTAAACTCTTTTGCTCACTTAATAAACAAACAAACAAAATCCCCTACTGAGCTAACCCAGACTGAAGGCAGCACTAGTAGAGATGGATATGTGAGAATGAGGTTCCCAGACTTCCAAATTTATGTTCTGCCACCATTTGCAGGTAAGGAATCTTAACACTAACAGTAACTTCACTCTCATCCACCCAAAATCCAGTCTTTTCATTCCTATTACTCAAATTCATCACTGCAGCTATTATCTCACAAATATTTATTATGTAACAACTACTACTTTCCATTTAATTTTCACAAGAATCTCAAGAGATATGGGTTACTGTTATCTCTATGTTAGAGGTGAGGAAACTGAAGATTAATGAGATTAATTTATTCAGACAGCATCAGCCAAACACCAAGTTACATCTAATACAAGAACCTAAAATTTTTTTGAAGATTTATTTATTTTCAGAGGGCAGGCCTGGTGGGGGTTATTGTGGGTCGTTCCAACTAGGCTGCAGCTCCCACTGATTTGTGTGAGGGCCGAGTGTGTGCTGGGCAGAATCAGGCTGGACTGCAACACCCATTGGTTCCAGTGGAAGACAGAGCAGGAAACAGAACCAACCTAGCAATTGCAACCACCAACTATTGCGGGCGATGGACTGTGCTAGGCCCTGCACTTTCCAAGTACACACAAGAATCAGGTCTGGGATCACTTCAGTAAAGTGTCTTTGGGGATCTCCCCATTTGAACTGCTGGACTCAGAACCCCAACCATGAAAAGACAGAGGACAAAACAAATCAACCAACTACCCCAGCCATATATTGGCAGTGAAAAACTGGGCAAACTGAGACTCTAAGATGAACTATGTCAATCAGTGGATTCTTCAGTGACCTCATCGTGATTGGAATGGTGAGCAGGCAGCAATTCAGAACTGTTAAACTATCAAAACCACTTGAGCAAGACCTTGGAGCATGCCCCACATCAGGGACCTGGGATGGGTGGGAGACTGGGTGGGGCTCTCCCTTTATCTCCCCCTTTTCCCCAGATACAGGGAAAAAAAATGTGGAAATAATAGGTTTACCCACTTTCCTGTAGCCCTTGAACCTCTGTGCCCTAATTAACGATATAAAGACTGTCAAAAATAAAAAAATATATAAAAAAGATTTATTTATTTTGATTTGAAAGGCAGATATACAGAGAGGAGGAGAGACAGAGAGGAAGATCTTCTGTCCATTGATTCACTCCCCAAGTAACGGCAATGGCCAGAGCGGTGCCAATCTGAAGCCAGGAGCCCAGAGCCTCTTCTGAGACTCCCACACAGGTCTAGGGTCCTAAGGCTTTGGACCATCCTAGATTGCTTTTCCAGGCCACAAGCAGGGAGCTGGATGGGAAGCGGGGCCACAGGAATCAGAATAGGTGTCTATGTGGGATTCCTGTGCGTTCAAGGTGAGGAGCTTAATCACTATGCTATTGCGGCAGTCCCAAGAACCTACATTTTTAACCACTACCACAGTTCATCCTCTTCACTAAATCATGGCCATCACTTTTTATTCTCTGGTGTCAGGATTTTCCCACCCCACCAACAAATCCTTTGCATTACAATGCCCTGTCCAAACAATTACTCCACCAACCTGCACTTGCTAGTTGTCTCCCCTCCCTAAAAAGAGGGAGAAGGCATGATACAGACACAGAACTTGTGTACTCCAACAGAATAAAAGCATTTGATAATACCAAGTACTTGCTACCAATGCTAACTCCCTTTCCAACAAATAGCTCATCACTACCTAGAAAATAAGTTCAAATACCTGCTTCCTATTTCCTACTTCCTATTTTTCAATCCTAATACTATACAATATACAAACAATACAACTGCAAAATCACCTTCATAATCTAAGTATGAAATGTACTGCATTGTCTATTTACGTTGGTCTCAAAGTTCAATCTGTTGTTAGAACAGACAAACCACTACACTGATTTTTCAAGGGCTTTTTTTTCTTAAAGACCCATAAAGCAAATGCACAAAGGACATAAAATCAGTGATACAGCAAAAATTAAAAAGTAAAAGCAAGTTAGTGTTATGAGTGAAAGAAGGAAGTTGATATAAAGTTTATTTCTAACTGATACAGTTTAAAAGCTGAATGATTTTATAAGAATGTCAACATTATCCAAAGTCAGAAAACCCTTTTTCTCTTACATGTGCCTTAATCTGTCTGCACAACAAAAATATTGGTCAAATGTTAAGAATAGAAGCTGGTGTTTGTCAAACGCACAATGGTTCTTACAAATTCCAGTCTTGCTATTCAGTTAATTTATTCTTGAGAAATAAAATAGAATAATCACTAACATATATTCTAGTAGGAGACAAACTTAAAGAATCACACAGGTTAAATACACAACTACAAGTTATGAAAAATGATAAAAAGCAAAATGCAAGTCAAGAGTGGAACATCAGGTGGGGCAGTGGGATAGACAGCAGGGAACAGCAGAACAAACAAACAAACAAAAAAAACCCAACTCTGAAAAAGAACCAACAGCAACTTATGCCAAAAACTGGAGCTGGAACATAGTGCTGCTGGAACAGGCCAGGCAAACAGAACAGCACATATAGAGGCCCTGAAAGTTGGTGTGGCCAGGGAAACCAAGAGCAATGTGGCTCATGTGTAGTGAGGAGAATGCAACGCAAAGCTAAGGAAACACACAAGAACCCAGGGATGCAGTCCTGTGGACCACAGTGAGGATCTTGACATTTTATCTGAAATTTAATGTTAGCAACAGGCTATCCACTGAAGGGTTTCAAGCCAAGAAACTGACACTTAATAACTGGGTAAAATAATAACTGGCAAAGAGTGAGAATGGAAGAAAATAGGGCAACCAAAGAGGAGCATGTTGAAGTTGCTCATCTTCCAGTAACAATTACTGCCTATTGACCATTCACTATGTGCCATGTGCTTAACCAGGCTATTTCATTAAATCCTCACGCCCCAGTAAGGTGAGGATTCCTATTGGACAAGTGAGAGTACTGAGAGTCAGACATCAAATGGAAAAGGGCTGTGGCTTGAGCTAGAAAGTGACAGTGATTGTGAAACTGGTAAAGAAATAGATATATTAGAAGTAAAACACAACTTGGAAAGAACAGGACATGTGGGACAAGGACCAAGTCAAGAATGCTAAGTTTCCTGCCTTGTGTAAGTAGCCAAATGCATGTTGCCATTGACGGAAATGGAAAACGTAGAATAGGGGTCCGGAGAGGAAGGACAAGATTTTGTCCAGATGTCAAATAGATGGTTGAATATTTAAATACGAATTGAAAACGTAAGACATCAAAAATAAAGTCTTACGACATCCACAAATACGTGCGATGTAAAGCTTAGGGAGAAATGGAAACGCACAAGAGAACTTAGAACCAGAGGCCAAGTATCCATTTTACTTGACTGATACCTAAGAGAAAGGATTACTTTGTATCGCAGGGTTTCCCAGCTCTCCTTCAACTTTCCGCACAGTGCAACACTACTTATGAGCTTCTGCCTCTGGCGAGATTAGATCTCTTGTACCCAGTTAGGAAATGTCAACAGTCCCTCTGGGCTCCAATCTAGCACTGAACTTTACGCAACTGCACCCGCATCCACAGCTCCAACAACTATCAACACTCCAACGACTATCAACACTGCAGATAACACTCAAGCATAGACTAGGTCTCCAGCATTCTCGCCACTCCCCCTTAGCACTTCAAGTCAGGGAGCCGCCGCGTTTACACCACATGGCAATGGGAAAAGGATTATCCAGAAACCACTTCAGAACACAGGACTCGGGCGCCAATGACAACCTCCTTTCCCGAATGACAGGTTCGATCTGACGGCTAGAGAATGGAAGCAACCAAAGACACTACCAAAACCAACACTGACGCCTGTGAGTGAAGGATGACTGGGTGGAGGAAGGCCAAGAATGATCATCTGAGTGAGGGGCATGTCCACACGGCCACACAAGTCAGCCAGGGAGACGGCAGGCCTCCCTGGAGGTGAGGGACGAGCGGAGAACGCCGAAAGCCCGAGACACAGATGAAGAGGGTCCGGGTTGGGGTACGCAGGGAGCCGGTGTCAGTCCAGGCGGGTCAGAGGCGCGGGGAGGCCGGCGGGGGGACACCCGAGGGAGCTCCCAGAGCCGCCGGCGCGGCGGCCCCAGGGGCAGCCGGGCGAACTCCACGAGCGGGAACGCCGAGTGGGCGGGGGTGGGCGGACCGCACCGGGCAGCCAGGGACAGACAACGGCCCCACCGAGGAGCCGCCCCCGCTTCTTACCTGTGCCAGAGGCCGGAGCTCCCGACGCGCCTGCCGAGAGCACGGAGGCCACGCGGAACGGCGAGAGCCGGCACAGAAGACCGAAAAAAAAAAAAACTCCGGGCCCGAAGGAGCCAGGCCGCTCGCTCCCCCTGGGTAGGGAGGGCAGCTGATGGCGGGAACTATGACCACACGCAAACACGTACGCAAGCACGCACGCACGCACACTCGCCGCGCCCCAAGGCCGGCGCCTGCGCGATAGCCCGCAAACTCCGCCCCTACGCCCACCCCATTCGCCTTCGCCACGCCCCAGCACCCAACGAGGCCCGGACCAATAGCCGTGACCGCAGTACGCATGCGCACCCTCACCTCGCTACCTTGCGTCCTCCCACCATTTCCTCCTCAGGCCAATCGGGCATGCGCGGTACTCGTCCTAGAGGGCCTGTCTTGCTTTTCCCGCCCTTCCCTGGTTTCCGTGGAGCGGCAGAGTTCACGCCTCTGTATGTGAGGGAGGCGAGGAGTAGTCGGCCACCGACACCTTTCTAGTCTCAAAACTAAAGGGGCAAAGGACCGCACTTTCTCGGGGACTGTGAACCCGGCCGAGGGCTAGGAGGCGGGAAGAAGCTGTGTGGGCGGGGTCAGGGGTGAGAGGTCAGAGGGCCGCGGCGGGAGGCGGAGCGAGCCGGAGGCGGATGGCGGCGGCTCCCCATCTTCAGCGGCTGAGGCGTTGAGATCGCGACGCGGTCCGGCGCGTCTGGCGGAGCAAGGCGAGCGTCGGGCGCTCCCAACATGCACAGCCTGGCGACGGCTGCGGTGAGTGCCTGAGCCGCGCGGCCCGAGGAGTCCCGGTCCTGGTGCCCTCGGCCCGCGAGGCCCCGGCTGCCCTTCGCCGTGGGCGAGCCCGGCCTGGCGTCTCGGAGCCCGCGGCCTCCTGCGCGGCGCGGCGCGTTCCTGCTGGGCGGCGGGGCCTGCGCCGCGCGCCCAGCTCCGAGCGCCTCCCTCGCGGGCCCGGGCGGGCCGGTCAGTGACGGAGGGTGCCGGCCGGCGGTTTCTGGGGCCCTCGGGTGCCGAGCTCGCCGCGGGGAGGAGAGGGCTGCCGGCTCACACCGCTGGCCTCCACAAGGGCACCGTGGCTGCCTCTGAGCTCACATTTCAAACCTTTGTCGCGCATCTTGTAACGAGGAAGGCGGAGCGTGTCCGAAGGAACCCCAGCATCTAGCTTATAAGTCTTGGTACCTCGCCATGGCCCTCGAGGCCTCGAGGGAGCTGTCCTTGCCCCGCGTTGACAGCTAAACTTTGTGGCACCTGCTCCGCTGGCCGGCTCTTCAACAGGTGTGCTTGCTGTTCTCTGCCTGGACTGTCCTGCCTCACACTCTTAGACACACGATGTGAATTTAACGGGTTCATCTTTCCCCAGACTTCCACCTTTCATCCGCCGTTTGTAACCGCTTTGACTAGAACAGCTTTTACAGAACCTGATGTATAGTTAGTGTCTCCTTGTCTCTTTAGGAGTTAGCACATTACCTGATACAGGGTAAGAATTCAAGGCCATTGCTGGTTCAAAGAATTTAGTTGTTTGGGTTTGCTCACTGAGATCCAATGGGAACACACTCCTCTGAAGGCCAAGTTCACTTTGTTTCACCAGGGAGATGCGATTTAAGGATAGTAAGGTACTGAGAGGGCAGTGTGTGGGGGAAACACCAAAAATTTGCCTTAACTTTGTAGAAAGTGAAAAATTTGAGGTGAAGGGGCCTTAGCAATGAGAAGATGTGGCTTAGTGAGATGTGGTCTCTTTCATTTCCAGGGTCGGTACTGTCACTGTCCCCTTTCACCATGTGTCTGTAGCTGTTCACATTGGAGATCTTTCATCTCTGTTAGGCAGTTGTCATTTCCTGGCTCTTTTGTTCTTTCTGGATTATGCATAGAATTTAGCAAGAAGCAATTGCACGATGAGGGTGCTGCTGGTAGAGAAGCAGCAGGAGAAATGAGGGACTTCTAGCGTTGGCTGGCCCAATCTTCCAAGTTGGACCAGGTCTTCCTCCCTCTTTCTACCTTTGTGGCTCCTAAAACGCTGTAGCCATATGATTCGCTTTCAGCTAGCTAACTAGCTAGCTAGCTAGAGAAATAATAGCAGTGATTTCAAGTGGGTGACAAGGTTTACTCCCGCTTTTAATACCTTGTTCCTAGATTCCAGCCTCAGCCGCTCTTTAATTCCTGCCTCAGTAAAGAACTATGGAAATTGTTTCGGGTTAACAGAGCTATTTTTTTGTTGTTGTTGTTGTTTTTTGTTTCTTGATGAATGTTAAGCTGATAAAACCTAGGGATGCCTTAGGAAGATGCATTTGATACACATTTAGAAAAAAAAATTCCTGGGGCATGTGTTGCAGCCTAGTGGGATAGCAGGTTAAACTGTCCACCTGTAGTGCTGGCATCTCATGCTAGTCCTGGTTCCTTTCTAATCTGCTCCAGCTCACTGATAATGCAGTGTGCCTGGGAGAGCAGCAGCAGAAGGCCCATGTGCTGGGGACCCTGCCACCAACATTGGAGACCAGGGTGAAATTCTGGGTTCCTAGTTTGGCTGGAGCCCACCCCTGCAGGTTGTGGCCACTGAGTGAATCAGCAAATGGAAGCTCTCTTTGTCACTCTAATTTCCAAATAAAGATATAAAATTTCAGGGTGAGCACTGTGGCACCGCAGGCTACTCCTCTGTCAATATCACTGGCAGCACGTATGGATGCTGGTTCATGGCCCTAGGTGCATCGCTTCTGATCTACCTCCCTGCTAGTGGCTGGGAAAAGCAACAGAAAATGACCCAAGTCCTTGGGCCCCTGTACCCATGTGACAGATCCAAAGGAAGTCACTGGCTACCAGCTTTGGGTCAGGTGAGCTCTGGCTGCTGTGGCCTTTTGGGGAATGAACCGATGGAGAGAAATCAATCAATCTCTCTCTCCCTTCCCCCCCCCCCTTTCTGCCCTCCACCCATCTCTGTTAATTCTACCTTTCAAATAATGAATTAACTAAATGCTCAAGCTTTTTTAAAAATTAAAATTTAGGGCCCGGCGCGGTGGCGCAAGTGGTTAAGGGTCCTCGCCTTGCACGCCCGGGATCCCATATGGGCGCCGGTTCTAATCCCGGCAGCCCCGCTTCCCTTCCAGCTCCCTGCCTGTGGCCTGGGAAAGCAGTCGAGGACAGCCCAAAGCTTTGGGACCCTGCACCCACGTGGGAGACCCGGAAGAGGCTCCTGGCTTCGGATCGGCATAGTATCGGCCCGTTGCGCTCACTTGGGGAGTGAATCATCGGACGGAAGATCTTCCTCTCTGTTTCTCCTCTCTGTATATCTGCCTTTCCAATGAAAAAATAATAAAAATAAATCTTTAAAAAAAATAAAATAAAATTTGGGCCTGGCCCATGGCCTAGTGGCTAAAAGTCCTCACCTTGAACGAGCTGGGATCCCACACTGGCGCTGGTTCTAATCCCAGCGGCTCCATTTTCCATCCAGCTCCCTGCTTATGGCCTGGGAAGGCAGTGGAGGACGGCCCAAGGCCTTGGGATCCGGCACCTGTGTGGGAGACCTGAAGGAGGTTCCTGGCTCCTGGCTTCAGATCAGCACTGCCACCAGCTGTTGCGCTCACTTGAATGAATCATTGGATGGAAGATCATTGCAATAAAAATAAATCTTTTTAAAATTTTGAATAAAATTTTAGAAAATTTATAGCAATTTCTGCTGTCAATTCTACTATCCCTAAACTCTTGTGTTCTTTTCACTTTATTTAATAACTCTTCCTTGCAGTTGTGATGGACTCCCAGATTCATCCTCATGGGCAATACAACGCCGTACACTTTTTTTTTAAGATTTATTTATTTTTTATTCCAAAGTCAGATATACAGAGAGGAGAGACAGAGAGGAAGATCTTCCATCCAATGATTCACTCCCCAAGTGAGCTACAACAGCCAGTGCTGCGCCGATCTGAAGCTGGGAACCAGGAACTTCCTCTGGGTCTCCCACTGGAGTGCAGGAACCCAAATCTTTGGGCCGTCCTCGACTACTTTCCCAGGTCACAGGCAAGGAGCTGGATGGGAAGTGGAGCTGCTGGGATTAGAACCAGTGCCCATATGGGATTCCAGGGCGCGAAGGTGAGGACTTTAGCCACTAGGCCACGCTGCCGGGCCCAACGCCGTACATTCTAAAGCAGAGGAAGGCCTGTGAAGATCAGTCAGTCAGATTCTAGCTGTAATGGCTAGAACTGGTCTGGTCCAAAGCCAGGAGCCAGAGGCTTTATGCATGGCTCCCAAAGGGGCACAGAAGCCCAAGCACTGCCACTTCCTCAGGCATGGTGGCAGGGAGCTGGATTGGAAGTGGAGAAGCTGTGGTTTGAACCAGCACCTAAATGAGATGCTATTACCACGGGGGGGGGGGGCAGCTTGACTCACTGAGCCACAGCACTAGCCCATAAATTCTTTTTTTTTCCAGCCCCATAGTTCTTCAGTTCACAGTTTTGTATGGCTTGTGAATGGTGTTATAAATATTCTAGTGGCCTTTGGCAGAAAATTGGTTCCTCGCTGCAGTTCTAAATTATCTAATTGACTGTTTCCACTTGAACCTCCTGTGGAAACTTTAGGGAAAATGCCTAACTTTTCTAACATATTTATTTTGTAAAAGCCTTTTTTTCTTTTCTTTTTTTTTTTTGAAAGCTCTGCAGAAAGGGAGAGACAACAAAGGCAGAGCAATCTTACATCCATCCACTTAATCACTCTCAAGTGGCCCCAACGGCTGGAGCTGGGTCATTACAGACCCAGGAGCCTGGAACTCCTTTGGTGTCTCCCACATGGTTGGCAGGGACCTGAATTCTTAGACCATCCTCTGCTTTTTGGGGCACGATGGCAGGGACCTAGACTGGAAGAAGTGTAGCTAGTACTAGAACTGTCCCTCCAATGTGGGGTGCCAGTGTTGCAAACAGTGGCTTAGCCTGTTGTACCACAGCCCTGGCCCCACTGAATTTTTAAAAATAAGTTTGAAAATGCCATCTGGCTCTTATAAATTTATTATACTAGTTAAGCTAATACTTCTGGAATGATTAGAAAGTATGTCTTAGGCCAGTGTTGTGACCTATTGGGTAAAGTGGTCACCTATGACAATGGTATCCCATGTGGACAATGGGTTGAGTCCTGACTGTTACATTCTTTGATCCAGCTTCTGCTAAAGCTCCTGAGGAAGTAGTAGAGGATGGTTCAAGTGCTTGGGCCCCTGTACCCAAGACCAGATGAAGCTTGTGGTTTCAGTATGGCTGTGAAACTGTTGGGGAGATACACATATGACTAATTTGTTTGACTTGAAAGAGCTGGGCACGGTGAGGGAGAGGTCTTCCATTCAGAGTTCACTCCCCAAATGGTCACAATGGACAGAGCTGGGCTGATCTAAATCCTGGGAGCCAGGTCTCTCAAGTGGGTACAGGGGCCTGAATACTTTGAGCCCTCCCAGGCCATTAAATGCAGGGAGCTGGATTGAGAGTGTAGCAGCCAGGACTCAAAGTGGTGTCCATATGGGTGGAACATTAGCCTGCTATGCCACTCTGCCAGCCCCTTCAAGTGCTTTAAAAAAAAAAACAAGAAAATGTCTTTAGGAGTGAGAATGTGCTGTGGCAGGTAAGCTATGACTTGGAACATATTTATTTGAGTATCTGGTTCAAGTCCTGGCTACTCTGCTTCAGCTTTGTGCTAATGTGTATCCAGCTGGATAACAGACAATGAATGTGGTGCTGGTGACCTGCTGTCATGTGGGAGACTTGGACTCTCTGTCTCTATCTCCCTACCTT